CTTGTTGAGAATTGAATATTTTTCCTTGCAAGAAGTGGTCCAAAGCCTGGAAGAAGTGATAGTTAGTTGGTGCAAGGTCTGATGAATACAGTGGATGACAGAGAGTTTCCAAGCCCAGGCTCTGTATTTTGAGGAGTGTTGCTTGTGCGACATGTCTTGCAAGAGGATTGTCATGTCTCTATCAACCAATCTCAGCTGCTCGATCACAAACATCTTTATCATTTCATCCAATTGGTTGCAAAAGACATCTGCTGTAATTGACTGAGCAGGTTTCATGAAGCTGTAATGGATAAACCAATGGTGGACCACTAAACAGACACCATTAGCTTTTTTTGATGAATATTTGGTTTTGGACTGTCATGCTTGCGATTGTCTAAAAGAATCCATTTTTCATCACAATATAACAATATGGTGTAGAAATGTTTCACCTTTATGTCATGAGAGCAAAGAAAGGCAAACTTCGAGATGATTTCTCTCCTGTCGCTTGTTAAATTCATGCAGAACCCATCTATCCAGCTTCTTTACCGTGCCCATTTGTTTCAATTGGTCCAATATTGTGGGAATAGTGACGTCAAACCTTGCTGCTAATTCACACATAGGTTGAGATGGATTCGCTTCTACTACAGCTTTCAGCTCATTATTATCTACCTTGGTCTCAGGTTGCCCATGTGGCTCATTTTTGAGATTAAAATCACCAGAGTGGTGATTTGACACATAGTACATCAAACCATGGACGTACTATGTGTTTGTTCATTACCCACATCCTTCCCATACACTTGGTTGATATTTCAAGCTCTCTGCACTGCATTGGTTCCACAATGGAACTCATATTCAAAAATAACACGAATTTTTGACCCATCCATAGTTTCACAGAAATTGCTAAAAAAAAATTTGAAAGATAATCACAAGCCAAACAGTGCATTTGAAAGAATGAGGATGTACCTTCACAATAAAAATAAAACAAGAAGTGTCAACGTGAAATGTCAGAGATATCAACTGTCAAACTTAGTACTTAAGAAAATCTGACATTTCATACTTAATAACCTAGTATTTTGGCACTCCTGCTAAAGTAAGGTCTTAGAACCACTGATGTGCTCTAATTCCTGTTTTTCACAGAGGAGGAAACTGAGTGATACGAATCTTTCTGTGTATCTGAGTGTGTATATGTATTAATTTATAAATTTGTTTTTAATATGACCAGTATGTACTTTGGGCAAAAGAAGCCATGATTTTTACAGTTCTTTTTCTAAGTAGTTTTCCTTTTATGAATGTGCATGAACATTTAAAAAATTTTTAAATTACTCTGAAAATTATTTGGTAAACTCGAAGGTTCTTTCAGTAGTACATTTGTTTCTTACTCTGGTAATTTTCTCTGAGAGTAATCTTTTTAGTGACCCAGTTTCACATGTGGAACAAGATCCTTGGAAACCTTAAAATGACTGCCCATCGTGGTTGCTATGAGGAGAGAATGAGCTAAGCCTGCTTTGCTAGCTGTGCATGGTGGTTTAGAGCATAGATCCTGGAGCCAGACAGCGCAAATTCAAATCCCAGCTCTGACTGTGTGAGCTTGGGCAAGTTATTTAGCTTCTCTGTGCCTGAATGTCATCATGAGGATGATGAGGGTGGTAATAATAGAATCTACCTCATAGGAATGTTGTAAGGATTAGATGATTTAATAAACAATACCTGTGGCCTTAAGGTGAAATGTGGCCTTCTAGGTCCTTAAGTGCAGCCTTTTGCCTGAATCCAAATTTTGCAGAACAAATCCTTTTATTAAAAGGGGTGCAGCAGAGAAAGATGAAGCTTTTCTTGCCTCTTTTGTTCCTTGAAGAAGAAAAATCTTGAAATCAGAAGGCCGCAGGTTCCCCACCCCTGCATGAGTTTCAGCACTCTTACTTGCAGCATTGTCTAAGGCGCGCGAACAGTATAAAGGCAGGAAAAAAGGACATGGTTTCTTGACAGTAAAAAATAGAGGAATACAAAATTAGGCCCAAGTCAAGTTGTATTATTAGAAAAGAATAAAGTAAACCCATGTAATACAATATGTTATCTCTTTTCCCTAGTAACATCCAGGTATAGGATATTTCCAACTGTCAGTACTTTGGGGCTCTTAGTGTTTAAGTGCCATAGAATTGTTGATCTGAAGAGAAAAAAAGGAAGCTGTAGGTCTTTTGTATGGTTGCTGATCCATGCCACTTGCTGGAATGAGATTTTGTATTTGACAAGGGAGAAACCATTAGTGGAAGAGTTTCCCCTCCTTTGTGGATTTTCTTACTTTGCTTCACTTGGAGATTGAAAAAAAGGTAATGAGTGCAGAATTTAAACAAGTATTTATTATTGCCTTAATCAGAATTCATATTGTTCATAAACATTTTTGTAGTACAAACTATGTATCAGATACTACTCTAGGTGCTGGCCTTGCCCTCATAAAGCTTTTATTCTCAAGAATACACATACATGAGTGTTCACGCATGGTGAGTAGTTTCATAAAATGATTAAGTTCGTAGCATAATCAACATTATTTATACTCTTTAAAATAATAGATGTCAAATGACAAGAGGACAACATCTCAAAAGTCTTCTCATTAAAAATGTTAATTTTCCATTTCATCTGTAAGTGAATAGTCTGCTAATATTTTCGGCTAAAAGTTATTTAAAATAAAATGATATTTTGACAATAATAAAGAGGAAAAGTGCTCTTTTATAAATGTGAAGTCACATACGATTATGTTTATTAAAAAACCATTTTTTCCCCTTTAGGTATTACTTAAAAAATAATATGGAGACAGAAACCTTGTGTTCAGATGAAGATGCTCAAGAACTAGTTAAGGAAAGCCAACTATCAATGCTGCAGCTCAGTACCATTGAGTTGGCCACCCAGCTGTCAATGAGGGACTTTGATTTGTTTCGTAATATTGAACCTACCGAATATATTGATGACCTTTTTAAGTTAGATTCCAAAACAGGAAATACTCATTTGAAAGAGTTTGAGGACATCGTAAACCAAGAGACATTCTGGGTTGCCTTAGAGATTTTAACGGAATCAAATCAGCTCAAACGAATGAAAATTATTAAGCATTTTATTAAAATTGCACTTCATTGTCGAGAATGTAAGAACTTCAATTCCATGTTTGCAATAATAAGGTAAGTTTGTACAAATAGGTACAAATACCTGTGTTTGGTTTTGTCGTGATATTAGACATGAAGCTGATTTTCTGCTTAAGTATTAAATGCCTATGAAAAGAAAAGTTCAATTAATAAGCCTTTATTGAAGTATTGTTAGATTTAATGTATTTTCCATTCTGGCATCACTGACTTTTTCTGTTTTTGTTTCTTTGATCTTTCTGTTAATTAATTTTTTTTTTTTTTTTGTAGATGACTGCCTTCTCATTTATTTTCTTTTACCCCTTTGAGTGATTATACCTTCTCTGGATATGTGCCCAGTGTGTGGTCTTTATCGTGAGACTTCTGTATTGTGCTTATTTAAGTGCCCACCTCTCTATGATTCGACAGTGAAAAATCAATGCTTTGGCTTAAAATAGCTATTTTGAAATAACAACAACAGCAATAATAATAATAGCAACCATTTAGTGAACTCTTCTGTTTGCCAGGCCCTATGGGAGTTATCGCTGGTTATGTTGTCACTGAAGCTGGGCCATTAGAATTACAAAAATCCTTTGAAGTTTATCAGCCCAGGGAATGCAGACGATTTCCTGAGCTCTCCCACCACCTTCCCTCCACTCTTCATGAGAAACCAATTCTGGATAATTTATTTTCTGACCCTTGTCCAGCACACTGCTGATCAACAAAAGGATTCTTCTTAAAGCAAGTCTAATTTTAAAGGGGAGGGGAGTTGTAGTTAGGGAGTTAGGTCCATTTATAAGGCCATGTTCGTGTATATGCAGCATAATTTGCACTTCAACCAATCCCACCTACACACTTCCCCCACAGAATTTATAATGATTTGTTTCTATTACTCATGTAAGATAAAAGCGGAATCTTTATAGGGACTGTAATCATGACTCTGTCATGGTAATAGGATGTTCCTTTATTAAATTAACCAGTGGCTGCAATTGAACTAAATACTGTAGGAATGTTGAATAGGGATTAACAGAGTGACCTTTAGAATCAACTGCATCTGTATTTGAATCCTTCCTCTCCCGTGTGCTAGCAGTGTGTCAATGGGAAACTGAAGACTGGTTTTCTTATCTATTAAATGCAGGAATTATACCACCTGTCTTGTAGTTTTTAACAGCTGGGTCTAAAACAGGAACAAAGATGCCATTGATAAACACTTGGAAGGCTAAAAATTGAACCTTTCTGTATGGGAAACATTCAATAAAGAATTTGAGAATAGTAGGCTCAGTTCTAGAGTATTCCACAAGGAAAATTGATTGACACCGAGAGGAGAGATGTAAAAGGAGAGTATAGAAAGAAAATGGTAGTGGTCTAAAAACCATACCTCAGTAGCCATCCTCATTGTAGGGGGTAAAGAAATAGAATCCAGCCAGAGAGGTGGAGAATCAATACAAGAAACAGAGTAGCACAGTTACGATAGTGTCATTAAAGCCAAGAAAAGAGAGTGATTTGAGAGAAGGTGGTGGACAGTAGCCTCAAGAAGAGTATAGGAAAGGCCTGAGATTTGGTTAAGAGGTTTGTTTTGTTACAAAGAATATTTGTTATGCACATTTTCCATAGTTCATGTAAAGATAATTGCTTTATATTCTTGTATTCTATGTTCAGATATATGAAAGAATATAAAGAACATATCAACTCTTCAGAGATAGCAAAGATGAATTATTCTGTTCTGGCTGGAATTAAATATCCTATTTTTGATAATTAAAAAATAATTTTTAACTTTTTGAATAGACATTACATGTACATGGAAAAAATTTTAAAGATACTAAAAGACTACACAGTGTGAAGTGACTCTTCCTCCCATTCAGTCTCTAGTCCCCCCAAATTCCTCTCCCCAGAAACAACCATGAAAGTTTCTTCATTCAAGAGATACAGTCTATACACATAGCAAGTATATAAAGATATTTTTTAAACCACGTTGGTTTATTTTTGTTTTATTTACCTTGGAAATTATTCCAAGTTAGTACTTACAAAGCTACCTCATTTTTTTAAACAACTACAAATTATTCTTTTGTATTGTGGAGTACACATTATTTATGGGTATTTCCAAATTTCTAGCCTTTTGCTATTTAAAACAGTGGTGTGGTGTTTGCTTTTGCCATGCAGAAATTTTTTATTTTTATGTAGATTTATCATTTTTTTCTCTTGGAATCTCTGCATTTTGTATTTGGTTTAAGAACAAAGAACTGCCTTGGTCTGAATCCAATGTTGGCACTTCACTGACTATGTGAGCTTTGTTTCCCCCATTTGTAGAATGGTAGTTCCTACCTCATGGGGTTGTTAAGAGGATTCAGTGAGTTAATACATTGAAAGCTCTTAGAACATCCTAAGATTATACCAAAATTCTCACATTTTCTTCTTTATACTATTGTAGTTTGATTTACATTACCTTTTTTTTTTTGTTGTTAATCTTTAATTCATTTTGACATAAACAGTGAGGCAGGGGAATATATCTTTGTTCCAAATGGCTTCTCAGTTATCCAACAACATTAATCCATCTTTTTTCCTTAACTGCATGGTGCTATATATTATATACTAAAATCCCATGCAGATTTGCATTTAATTCTGAACTCTTTGTTCCATTGATCTATCTATTCATTTACTGTTTTATTAATAATTGCTAAAGCATTAAAATAGGTTTTAAGGTCTGGTAGGGCTAGTCAAACCCCTCATTACTCTCCTCATACTTTTCTTTGGCTGTTTCTGACATGCGTGTTTCATGGGAAATTTAGAGTCAATTATCTGGTTCTTTTAAAAAGTTGTGTTTTCATTGGGATTACATTAAATGTATAGATTAATTTAGCAGACACTTGATATTTTTATGACAGTGGTTCTTTCCACCCCAGCACACTTACTCTACTTGTTCCTATTTTCTTTTATTTCCTCTGTGGAGTTTATATCTGTGTTCATACAAATCTTGAACTTTTCTTTGAATGTTTAGTATCTTTTAATATCCTATCTATTACGAATAGGATCCTTACATTATGAATGGGATCCTTATATTTTCTAACTAGTTTTTGCCTTCTAATTCTTACATATATCAGTTTTGTACATAGGCACCTTACTATATTCTGGGTTTTTTTCAGTTAATATTTTGGGAGTTTTTATTTAAAGAATCTAATTTTCTTTAAATAATGTGAACTTTACTTCTTTCATTCCATTTTTCTATTTATCTTGTCTGTTTTCATCTGCTGATAGTTCCATGTTTAATAATACAGTTGTCCCTCAGTATCCAGGGAGGGTTAGTTCCAAGACCCCTGTGGACACCAAAATCCAGGTATACTTGAGTCCCACAGTGGGCCCTGTGGAACCCGTGGATACAAAAAAAAATCAGCCCTCCAAATCCACAGATTTTGCATCCCAAGAATACTGTATTTTCTGTCCGCATTTGGTTGGGAATGCAGAACCCACAGATGCAGGGGGCTGGCAGTATTTATTGGGAAAACTGCATGTAAGTGGACCTGTGCAGATCTAACCTGTGTTGTTCAGGGGTCAGCTGTGATTGTAATTATGAAGCTCTGTGTGTAATTTGTGGCTCTTAATCTAGGAATTCTTCCATGTCTCCATTAAACATAATGCTGGCTTTGGGTTAAGAAACAGATTATGCTTTCTGTTCTCTTTTACTGATTTTCTAAAAATTAATAATAAATATTGAATTTATATGATACTTTAGTACCTACAGTGATCATAAAATTTTTCTCTTTATGTATTAGTATGGTAAGTTATTTTAATAGTTTTCTGAGAATGAATTATCCTTCTAATCTGGCATGAACTCCATTTAATCATGGTATATTTTCTTTAAATATATTACAAAAATCTTTGCTATTTTTTACATAGAATTTTTGTACAATTTTTCATAAATGAATTGATTTATAGTGTTGTTCTTTGTTGGTTTGTGTGATCTATTCGTGAGTCTTAATAGCAGTACTATCCTGGTTTCATAAAATTTGGCAGCTTTTATTCCTTGTTTATCCTAACAGTTTAAATAGCATTGGAGATAATTAAAGTAGTTGGTTAGAGGTTTGAATGAGTTCACCTGTGAAACCCTCTGGGCTTAGTGCTCTTTAACAATCTCTGTTATGTTTTGAGGTTTTATATCTTTCAGTTTCATTGTTTCCTGAAACAGAAGTTGACAAACTTTTTCTGCAAAGGAAATTGTTTAGATTTTGTGGGCTATATAGTCTCTGTTGTAACTGTTGAGCTCTGCCATTGTAGCACAAAAGCAGCCATAAATAGTAGATAAGCAAGTGGGCATAGCTGTGTTCCAATAAAATTTTACTTACAAAACCAGGCAATGGACCTAATTTGGCTCACTGGTTGTTGTTTGATGACCCTAAAATATCGTATGTTTCATCCAGGCTTTAAATTAATTTGCATGTGGAATTGAGCAAATGGGCCTACTGTGCTCTTTTAAATTCTTCTGTACCTAGAGTTGTGTCCCTCGTTCTTATTTCTTAATCTGTGTGTTTGACTACTGTGAGCCATAGTTTGCCGAGCTTTGTTTTAGTCTTACGATGCGCATCACAGTCCTTTCCTTGTGATTTCTCTAATCATCCCTTTGTTGAAGTTTGCTTTCTAGTCATTTCTTGAAGAAGAGCTTGCAGGAGCTATATTTCCTGAACATATTCAAAATGTCTTTCTATGGCTTTTGCACTTGAATGACAGTTTGGCTCTAAAATTCTTGTCTGACATGTTATTTCTTGGGGACTTCCTAGATAGTGGCCCCTCACCTAGCATTTTATATGACTTAGGTTCCTGAGATGAACTTGAATTTCTCTTTCTTGCTGCATTCCGAGATTCTTTCTGTATTTCTGAAGTCATTTACCTTTACACAGATGTTTCTGCATCACTTTAACTTCTATATCAGGTTCTCTGGGACTGTGGTACCTTTTCACTTTGTAAGTTCAAATCTTCTTTTGTTTCTGGAAAGTTTTCTTAAATTATATCTTTGAATATTTTTTAAGTTCCCTTATTTTTGTTTGCTTCTTCAGGGGTACCAATTATGCAGAGTTTAGAGCTCCTTTGTCTTCCGTGTCCATTATTTTCTCTCCAGTCCCTTTCACCTCTGTCCATTTGTGCTGAGTGTTTGTGTTAGTCCTTCCTTCCTGTGACTTGCACAGTATCTTAGCAGTGTCTTTATTTTTCTTTATATAGGTTCCAATTTGGCCTTCATTTCTGTGTTGGTTTTATTTTTTTTCTTCCATTTCTTTCTGAACTTTACCAGTTAATTTTTAATCACCGTCATTTACCGTATTTTCCCTAAGCTCTTGTATCACTACATTAAGCTGTTTATTTTATTAATTTATTTGAAATCATGGCCAGGTATTGGTTAGTCCCAGTTTTTGTCTGACTGCTGACAACATTTTCCTGCTTTATGCTCTTTAACTGTGTTTTTGCTTGTGGCTACTTGTTACAGATCTTGTGTTCATTCCTTCCCTTTGAATGATGTGAGTTTTCCTGCAGGAGATTCACATGAGACAGGAGCCAGAGCAGTATTACAGGCTAACAGGAGCTGGCCTTGTATGTGAATTGTTTTACCCTTTACCTTTTCCTAGTGAACGGTGATGGGCAGCTTTTCCCTTGTCTAACTGTTAAACATATTCCTACCAAAAGATATCACTGTGTGCACTGGTTTAATCTCACTTTCCCTGGCACTCCATGGTAAAGAGGAGACCCAGCCCCACTTAACCCCGTCAGCCTGTGAACTCTGTTGTGTTGTTCCAAATAAAGGGTTGTTTTTGTTCCCAGAGTACGTACCTGCTTTGGAGAACTGGAGGACTTTGTTTGAACTCTTGAACTGAAGACATCATTTTTCAATGTCTTGGTATACTCCTGTTTGACCTTGGCTATTTTTTGGCAACCTTTCTAATGTGTTAGATATCTTTAGGAGTTAGATATTCCTTCGTTTGAGTAGAAATGAAATACGCATTTCTGTTATTCATCCTTGTAGTCGTTTGGGTGATTTCCGAGAAGCAAAGGGACAAAGATATCTTAACTCCACACCTTAAAATCAGAAATCAAGGGAACATTTTACATACATTGATGTGGGTAGAGGTCAGATGGCTAAGAGACAAGGATTAACTGGTAAGAAAATTGAGGTATTACATATACATTCTTCCTTTGGCAGCCTACCCATGGGATGGTAGTATAGAGGTAAAGGAATAGTGAAGACTTGCAGCGTAATTGGCTTGAATTATTTTTTCAAGTTAGGGAATATCTGAGCTTATTTAAAATCTTGTGGAAAGGAGACATTGAATTTTTGGAGGATTAGGGGATTGGATTAGGAACCTAGGGATATAGAAGTATTGAAATCAGGGACACAAGTTGACAAAATCTCAGAAAAGAAAGGCCTCCTCAGCACCAGAACTTGCCTTAGTTGTCATGTAACAGTTGTTCTCAGCATTAAACCAGCAGCCCCCAACCTTTTTGGACCAGGAACCAGTTTTATGGAACACAGTGTTTCCACACACAGGGGTGAGGAGGATGATTTTGGGATGGTTCAAGTGCATTACATTTATTGTGCAGTCAGTCCTCTCTGCTAATGATAATCTGTATTTGCAGCCGCTCCCCAGCACTAGCGTCACCGCCTTAGCTCCACCTCAGATCATCAGGCATTAGATTCCCGTAAGGAGAGTGTGACCCAGAGCCCTCGCATGCGCAGTTTACAGTAGGGTTTGTGCTCCTTTGAGGATCTACTCCAATGCCCCTGCTGATCTGACAGGAAGGCAGAGCCTATGCAGTGATGTGAGTGATGGGGAGTGGCTGTAAATACAGATGAAGCTTCGCTGGCTTGCCTGCCGCTCACCTCCTGCTGTGCAGCCCAGTTCCTAACAGGCTACAGACCAGTACTGGTCCACGGCCCAGGGACTGGAGACCACAGAATTAAACCAGTTTCAAGTAGGTAGTGTCTCCATAAGATTATTTCTGAGTAAAACAAACAACATTGTGATGCTTCAAGGTTTTTTTTTTTTAAGTTAAATGTGTATTTTGTGGATTTATTACATTTGTCACTTACATGGAAGTATAAAATAAAGACTATGTAGGTATGTAGCTATAGGCAGGTAGTGTAGTTCTTCTAAAAGAAATTCTCCTTGTTTTAAGATCAAGGAGTCTCCTTTATTTCTTTTTTGCAAAGTTCTACTCTGTTAATTTGAACATGTCAAAATATGTCCCCGCTTATTTTTAGGTTTATTAGAGAAGTTGGTGTATGCAATTTATTGACCTGAGTCCACCCTCTCCCCTGAGTCCCTTTTTAATGTTTTTATTCTCATCTTTGGCAGTGGATTGAACCTGGCACCTGTAGCACGACTCAGAGGTACTTGGGAAAAGTTACCAAGCAAATACGAGAAACATCTCCAAGATCTACAAGACCTTTTTGATCCATCTAGAAACATGGCAAAGTATAGAAATATTCTTAGTAGTCAAAGCATGCAGCCTCCAATTATTCCTCTCTTCCCCGTTGTCAAGAAAGATATGACATTTCTACATGAAGGTATTTAAAAGTTATTTGAAAATTAACATGTTTAGCTTCAACTAATTCTACAGAATTGTGATTTATTATGTATTCTATCCTAATGATTGTATGTCACATAAGCTTTACACGGTTAAACACAGAAGAATTTAGGAATGCAAAAGCCATATTGTTAACAAAAGCAAATTAATATATTAGGTTATTAAATATGAATGTCCGATTTCCTGAAGTACTAAGTTTTGACAATTGATATCTCCGACATTTCACTTTGAAACTTCTTGTTCGTTTTTGGTTTTTTTTTTTTTGTGAAGATACATCCTCATTCTTTCAGACACATGATTTGGCTTGTGATTATCTTTCAAAATTTTTTTAGAGCAATTTTTGTTAAACCATGCATAAGTCAAAAATTTGTGTCACTTTCGAATAAGAGTTCCATCGTGGAACCAGTGCAGCGTAGACAGCTTGAAATATCAACCAAGTATTTGGGAAGGATGTGGCTAATGGGTTCAAGAAGTTCCATTCTGGTGATTTTAATCTTGAAAATGAGCCACGTGGGCAACCTTAGACCAAGGTGGATAATAATGAGCTGAAAGCTGTAGTGGAAGCGAATCCATCTCAACCTACGCGTGAATTAGCAGCAAGGTTTGATGTTGCTGTTGCAACAACATTGGACCATTTGAAACAAATGAGCAAGGTAAAGAAGCTGGATAGATGGGCATCACAGGAATTAAATGAGCATCAGAAGAGAAATTGTCTCGAAGCTTGCCTTTCTTTGCTGTCGTGACGCAGGCGAACCATTTCTACACCTATCATTACGTGTGATGAAAAATGGATTCTTTTAGACAATTGCTAATTCTGCAGAATTGTGATTTATTATATATTCCAACCTAATGATTGTATGTCACTAAAGCTTTACACAGTTAAATGCAGCAGATTTTAGGAATACAAAAGCCATAGTGTTAACAATATGGCAAATTAAAGTATTAGGTTATGAAGCATTTGGCACAAAGGTTGGGTGAAAATGAAGTGCCAAAACAAAGCCCAAAACGAATATTCATCAAAAAGGGCTAATGTCTGTTTGGTGGTCCAGTGCTGGCATTATCCACTGTGGCTTCATGAAACCTGGTCAGTCAATTATAGTGGATGTCTACTGCAACCATGTGGATGAAATGATGAGGATGCTTCAGATTAAGCAGCCAAGATTTGTTGATAGAGACAGGACAATCCCCTTGCAAGACAATGCTCAACCCCATGTCGTACAAACAACGCTGCTCAAACTACAGAGGCTGGATGCGGAAACTCTGTCATCCACCACATTCACCAGACCTTGCACCAACTGACTGCCATTTCTTCCAGGCTTTGGACCACTTCTTGCAAGGAAAAATACTCAATTCTCAACAAGCTGTGGAAAATGCCCTTTGCAATTTCATCGCCACTTGCTCTCCAGGCTTCTTTGCTGCTGGCGTAAGCAAGCTACCGTTTATTTTTAAGATGGCAAAACTGTGTCAAAGTATGATTAATTGTACTGCTTCTTGTTTGAGATACGATAAACTAAACTTCAATTCCAAATCGGACATTTCATATTTAATGACCTAATCTTTACTGTGTGCATTCAAACACAAACTTGCCACACTAGGATAAGACAGTTTGATTGTATTTATTGTTTTGTTTGGTAATATTTTTCTTTCCAACTTCTTTCTATTGAATTGTTCAACACGTGCAGAAAAGCCTCCAAAACAAACAGACAACCAATGAATTATTAAAAGCAAACACCCATGTAACCAGCACCC